TTTTTTCCTACATTCTAGCACAAAAAAACGCCTTTCTAGGCAATAAAAAGAAGAAGTTCAAAAAGTTGAAAATTGACATTTTTCCAAAGGGGTTAACCCATGGTTTTGGTCAAAAATTGGCAATTTTTCCATTTTCATTTTCTAAAGCAGTTTAGGCCAGGAAAAGGTGTTTTACGATATTCTAGAACGAAAAAACGCCTTTGTAGGCTATAAAAACAAGAAGTTCAAAAAGTCGAAAACTTGACGTTTTTGCAAAGGGGTTAACCCATGGTTTTGGTCAAAAATTGACCATTTTTTCCATCTTTTTTTTTCTAATGCTATTAAGGCCACGAAAAGGTGTTTTACCATATTCTAGAACGAAAAAGGGCCTTTCAAGGCTATAAAAACAAGAACTTCAAAAAGTCAAAAAATTGACATTTTTGCAAAGGGGTTAACCCATGGTTTTGGTCAAAAATTGGCAATTTTTCCATCTTTTTTTGTAAAGGAATATAGGCCCGGAAAAGGTGTTTTACGATATTCTAGAACGAGAAAACGCCTTTGTAGGCTGTGAAAAGAAGAAGTTCAAAAAGTCGAAAAATTGACATTTTTGCAAAGGGGTTAACCCATGGTTTTGGTCAAAAAGTGGCCATTTTTTTATCATTTTTTCTAAAGCAATATTTGCCCGGAAAATGTTTTTTACTATATTCTAGAACGAAAAAACGCCTTTCTACGCTATAAAAACAAGAAGTTCAAACACTCGAAAAATTGACATTTTTGGAAAGGGGTTAACCCATGGTTTTGGTCAAAAATTGCCCATTTTTCCATCTTTTTGTCTGAAGCAATATAGGCCAGGGAAATGTTTTTTACTACATTCTAGCACAAAAAAACGCCTTTCTAGGCAATAAAAAGAAGAAGTTCAAAAAGTCGAAAAATTGACATTTTTCCAAAGGGGTTAACCCATGGTTTTGGTCAAAAATTGGCCATTTTTCCTTCTTTTTTTCCTAAAGCAGTTTAGGCCAGGAAAAGGTGTTTTACGATATTCTAGATCGAAAAAACGCCTTTGTAGGCTATGAAAACAAGAAGTTCAAACAGTCGAAAAATTGACATTTTTGCAAAGGGCTTAACCCATGGTTTTGGTCAAAAAGTGGCCGTTTTCCATCTTTATTTTTTTAGGTAATATAGGCCAGGAAAGTAAGTTTTACTATATTGTAGAACGGGAAAACGCCTTTCTAGGCTATAAAAACAAGAAGTTCAAAAAGTCGAAAAATTGACATTTTTCCAAAGGGGTTAACCCATGGTTTTGGTCAAAAATTGGCCATT